TTATATTCATTTCGTGCTTTTATATCGTCTTGATGGGACTTGAGATTCATCTTGACTTGTTCTAACGCGCTTTCATTTATTTCTGTAGGCATGACATTGACCAAGTCGGCGGTCGCATCAACTGCACTTATCTTTGCGGCCATCATCCGCTCTTCTGCTTGTCGATGTGTTTTTAACGTCGTCGAAGGTATATGCAGTCTGCCCGTTTATGCTTGTCAAGAAGGCAACCAGAATTGGTCCCTGAGAAGATCGTGATATGGTTAACTAGTGTTCGAACTGAAGTTGCTAGATACCGTTGCACTTCAATGTCCCGTAAAAGCCAGTTTTGAGACAAGGCAGACTTCAACTGGTATGTGATCCTCATTATGCTACTTGCGATAACGAACGTGTTGAATTGATACCAGGTTGTCTTGAAGTAAGTCAGCCGTGACAAAACAATTGTCCAATCAACTTTTACGCGATGGATCCATATTTTGGGGTCATGAAGCGCCAGGTATCAACTAAAACCAGTTTATCAAGCCAATCATCAACTTCGTCTCGAGCCCGTCTCAGTGAGGCCAATCCGCAGCCGTCTGGTCCAGATAACCATCCATTATATGTTGAAGTCGCCTACTACAATGTGTTTAATAAAAAAATATTTTGACCGCAGCCACTTCGTAGCCCCTGGCCTCAAAGTGAATAGGAAGAGCTCGAATAAATCTCCACGAAAAATGGGTTCATTAAGGGCATGCTATACGTGGTGAGCACACCAAATCGCCTTCTAAAATTGCTCGTGGTCATAATTAACGCATGCACACTTCTAGTTTAGCCGTGAGATCAATAACCTCACCAAATGGAGAGGAAGAAGACAACCCAAGTCCCACTCCATGTCGCTCGTTAAATGTAGGGGATGTAGAATGAGATCTAAAGCACCGTGCTCTAGAATCCACTACGTGTACAAAGAGCTCATTGGTTTGTATAGAATACTATTTAGTGATCGCCGAGAGAAGTCACACATATAAAGTGAGTAAAGGTTTCTTCATCCCATTTATGCCGTACAAAATTCCCAAGGCCCAAGCCTCCCCAAAGTCGAGGGTGGATCAAAAAAGATGCCGCGGTCTCAACCGTAGTCGATAACTCCAGGTCGCTAATGTATTTTAGTGCCGCGCGCGTGAAAACATGTGGAGGCGTGGTTAGGCGATCTCGAAGATGCTCGGCAACATCTGTAATGTGATGCACATAAAAAAGATCGATTTATTATAAAAATGAAGTTTGTCGAATCCGCTTTGGAGATAGCTGTTGCGGAAGCAAGGCTTGTATCTTTAATCATTACAAACTGTGCTTCTTCATCCGGAACAATTGCCTTTGAAATCGCATCGGAATTAGGCAGCTTGTCACCAAACGACATTGTAACCGGGACAAGAAGTCGACCGGTTGGCCCGTCAAAACCGGTGGTGCACAAATAGTACGATAGGTCGCATGATCTGTGACTAACTGCTGCTGCCGTTGAAGAAAAATTTTGAACAGCTGGCAAAAACTCGCAGGTTGCGCTTGAATAGTCGAAACCACATCTTCATGCGATGTGAAGTTAAGCACGTCCGTCGCGATGACTCGGCTATTATGCTGTCGAATTCCACTGGAGTCATTTGTTCAACTATATGCGGCATTCGGCGCGCTTGTTTGAGAGCACGAAGTGAACACATGGGAATTAGAGACGTGTCGGTCATGAAACCGTGGATCTCTTCATATTCTTCCAATTCACCAATACACAGATCAACATCCGGTGGTAACGATGTATATAACCGTCCACTAATAAAACTTCAGAGTAGTTGGGGTGTACCGGTGATGAGTAGCTTAACGCAGACGGGTCCTGAAGGTCGATAGCCAGCTCACATGGAACAGCTGTTTCTGGCTCGATAAATTTGCCCCCATTAGGATGAAGTTTTCCATATTGTGAGTGTTATACTATCTTCCATTCAGATGCGTCAGCAGGTACTGTACCAGGAAGTACTGTGAAAGCCCGTGATCTAGCCGACCTTAATGCAGACAGGCCGCGGGGAACCGTTGTAGATGACACATCAACAAATGTGTTACTACATACATTGTCCTCCGACGTGGGACCACTGATTCAAGAACCCGACCCTAAGGCAACATCCGGTGTTACAAGGACAGGCGAGTGGTCCGGTATCGCCAGGTGAAGAGTCCACATGCGGTGGGACAGCAGCAGGCGCGTGTTCTGTTTCTCCTCCCAGTATTCTGGACTCCGATACATCGGATGGCTTGCGTGCGGATGGGCAAAGTGACGGCGGGCTTACGCGATTGAGCTTGTAAAAATGATGCTGAACAAAACATGGCTTTTCGCCTATGTCAAAGTAGATTTCCCGGAAGGGCTCCCCGTCCGGATCAAACAAGCCAGGTGGGCATGAGACTGCACTGAAGTATACAGTACGAGCTCTTGACTTGAGCATGCCGTGATCGTGAGTCGCATTGATGATCACAGTTCGTGCGTTACGATTAACATACCAGTAGTAGATGTCGTATTCGGACATTTTCTACGGAAGGCGTTGCAGATCAAATTGTTAAAAATTGAATACTTCCGTATGGTCACTAAAGTATCGTCTACTGTAAGTGTAACACCCCCAAGACATCGAAGTGCTTCTTCTGACGTGCAGACAAACCCGACACCATAATGAGGGATGCGACAATATCCCGCACATAATCAAGTGTAAATATTTACGCCATAGTTCTGGCTGGTAATCCGCCTTTGAGGATACACATAGCTTCTCTCAATGATACGCCCAGCTGCTAAACGTGCAGCTAGGGTCCACATACGCGTGCAAGTCTCTGCGTCGACAGGCGGTGGGAGTGGCGCAAGTGCTTTTTGGCGACCACTTCTTTGGAAGCCATCGCTTCTATAAATATCTGTCTTGGAGATAAACACCGCTGAACGCACGAAGTGGATCGTCGATCCTGAGGGATCCTCAAATTTGTACTAACCTTTGGTAAAAGAATTTTAAGATGTCGTCTTCAAAGATCCACCGTCGGTCCTACCTTCGGACCGAGGTGTGCGTCATGTGATCGACCTGGTTCCGGGAACCAAATACTATGTAACTCACCAATGGCCCCTGTTAAAGAAGCAGTGTGACGTCATTGACGCCTTTTTCCGTGCGAAGCACGACGGAGAAATGGTGTGTGAGAGCAAGTCTCCCCATTCGACACCCGCGTTTTGTATTCGGATGCCGAACGGCAAGTGGCGTGTCGATCACGCTTGCAATAAGCTAAACGCTGCCACCATTCCGGTACAGACGCGGATTCCTAGGAATGATGTTCTCCAGAACAATATGGTTGGCTGTGCAGTGTTCAGCGCACTCGACTTGATCGATGGGTATTACCAGTTGCTCATGAGAGCGAGTGATATTCCGCTGATAGCGGTGAGTGCTCCGAGCGGCAGTGGTGGCTGATGATGCACCAGCAACATTTAATCATCTTGTGACGCAATTGTTCAGGTCCACCGGGCGTATGCGCAGACATACTTCGACGGCATCTTTGTCCACAGTCATGTGGGGCACGGCAGGACACATCGTCCATTTGAGGGCGGTGCGCAAGTCCATGCGCACAAATAAGCTGTATGCTAGTGTAGATCAGTAAATCTTGGGCACTGAAGAAATTTCCTCTTTAGGTTGCTTTATTGGGAAGTTTGGCCTTCGAGCGGATCCCACTAAGGTCAAGGCCAATGTGGACTGCCCGTTTCTAAGGAACCAAAAATGCTTGCGCAAGTGGCTTGGCCTCGCCAACTACTAACACAAGTAAAGCGCGAACTTTGCGGAAATAGTACGGCCTTGTCGAATCTCCTATAAGAGTGGTGATGGGACACCAAGCATCGGGTGGTTTTGACAGGGTCAGGGATAGCCTCCTTCATGCACCAATACTGGCGTGGTCAGACCCCTATCGTCCTTTTACTGCCGTCTATGTTTCGGACTTTGCCATATGCTATGCACTGCTGCGAGTAGACGCCAAGGTGTGAGATCGGGTGATCGCGTTCGAATCTCTCCAGCTTAAGGATGCACCAGGATTACATAGTCCACGACAAGATAGTACTCTCGGTGAAGCATGCACTTATCACGTTCAGCGTGCACCTGCTTGGCTCCAAGCCGTTTGAGATCTACACAGATCATGTGTCACTACGCACTGCGAGTGCGTAGTGGCTATGTGGCTCTCATTCTTTGCAGAATATAATTTTGCGGTGAAGTATAAGGTAGGAAAGCAGAATGCTCTGGCTGACGCGTTGTCACGCAGACCAGATTATGAGCTTGCGCATGTCAAGACGGTGACGTCCTCAGTGACGGATCTGACACGCGCCGCATACATGCGTAGCGCTGCTACAGCTCTAGGGAGTAAGGAGGCTGGAAACTCGGACAAGCATTGTCGTCGCGACAGCGCGCACGGTTGCGTGCGTCGCGTGTGCGCTGATAGTAGCGCATCTGTGCTGCTTTGATACTCCCTTGCTAGCTTGGTATTGCTCAGGAGAGTACGCCATGTTACTATATTAACAAATATTTGGTAATTTTGAAGACACCATGCTTCCATCATTACATTATTCATTTCCTCTCTACTCTTCCTCTGTTTCTCTTTGTGCTCTGTGTAGGTTGTTGTTGTTGAGGTTGTCGCTAAGCTTCCGTAGCAGGAAGCAGCAAAGTGTGCTCAGTTATGCTTCGCTTCAGCAGCAAAAGTCAAGTCGTTCATTTCTTGTCGATGGGCTTGTAACGGTGTCTCGTCCTTTGATTCCTCGATCATGTTGTCAAGCTTCGATTTCCAATATTGCAAACATGACAGAATCACCCCCAATGCAATGTCAACACCAATCAACTCACAAAATATTTCAAGGATCACTTCATCTCGTGCGCCCACAGTTTTATCTTAATGCCCACCAAATCCTCGAAATTGTAGGTTCCAATAAAAATATCAATGTAAACTTGGCAGAAACATCAAAGCTAAATGCACTTTGTTTATCAAGCGCCATCTCAGCTTAGCTCCCGCTCCAACTGTTCCGGGTTGAAGCAGCTTACCATCGATTGAAACGTATTAGCATCTGGTGCACCCTTGAAGTCAAACAACTCGCAGGTACCGGAGTCGGGGCCTACTACCACGAAGGCGCGCTTCATGTTCGTCAGCAAAGAATTTTTATCCAGCTCCACGTTCAGCCAAAACAACCTTTTTTCCTTGAACGTTTTTTCGCTTCAATTGTCACCTGAATTTAAGCCACTATCGTCTCGGACTTGGTCGACAGATTCTGACCCTCGTCACCAGACCCACCTTTACTTGGGAACGCTTCACACGTAGTCCCTGCATCGGTAGAAGGGAAGAACGGTAGTCGGGGTACCAGTTAGTACCTTTTCAAGTGTGCTCAGGCAACGATAGCACGATTCCTTATTTTCGCTGCTGCAAACGACGTTGGGCACCCGGTTCTCGATGTTTTCATATTTTGACCCTTCCCGCATCTTCAGCACAACCGGTTTACGTTTTACGAATGCCACACCAACTGCGTTGGT